TATTCAACTAACGTTAAAAGCAGGTAACTGACCGTTTATATTTTAATTTTTAACACCTTGTTAAAATATAATCTAAAATTGCTATTCAGGAAGGATGTTATCAACGGATTGTCTAAGAACTCTAAGACATTAAAAACTAACGGTTGCGTTTATTGTGGTGAGTAGAAATCTGTACTACTGGGAGGAAATTGATTATTAAATCTAATCTAATAACCTGCAAGTGAGGTCTGTGGTCTGTAGCTTATTCAGGAAGTTTTTATTAATTGATTCATCAATTTATTTATGAAGGGTTTGATTTTATATTTTAAATTTCGTGAATTTCCTTGAAACGAAAACAGCTACCTACTCCCAATTTTGCAAGCAGGTTGTAGTAAATAAAGTCAAACTGAAAATGAATGTTTTCTTGAATAAGTTGAGATTTATAATTTTTTTAATTAGATAACGGGAAAAAAATTATAATCGTAATTTACCAGTTCGCGTATCATTCTTTATAAAAACGTAGGTACTGAAGTATGTATATACAAACAAATGAGTAACTTCAACACAGTATTTTTGTTTGTACGAAAATTAGAACATGTTCTAATTTGTGAAGAACTTCACGAATAAATTTGTGGAGAATAAATTAATTATATGACAGCAGAATGGATGTATTACCATGGGCGCAGGTAGGATTGATTGGAGTGGATCTAGCTGGTCAGCCGGTTAACCGACCAAAAAAATATTACCAGTTCGTTTTTTTTTTCTAGGGTGGGCTCCAGGCTATGTGTTAGAAATCTTATGAGCTTTGACCTTGATATGCGCAGAAACATAATTCCGACCGTCGCGTCGCCTAACTTATTCTACGTCCTAAAAACATTACATCCATTATTGTCTATCTCGAGTTCTCGTAGCGTAAACAAGCCTTTGCTCCGATTACAAATATCATAATAAAATGTTATATTCTTTATTATTTTAATTTAAGCAATAAAAATATATATAACGAACGTTCGCCAGTTGACTTTATTGATGCCCGAGCGCCTTAGTTCATTTCTGGTTGTAACGAGGCACGTGGTCTAATTCCGAGTCAGTGTTTTCACAACGTGCTTATTAGAAGAATTATGTGGATACGCCACGCCTTTCGCGCATTTCGCGGCTCATGAGATTTTGAAACTACTCTACACTTCACTTGCCCATCTTCATGAAACAACTTTATGAATTAATTCATGAAGAAATGTAAAACAGATATTAGAATATATTGTGAATTTCGTGAATTTTTTCTTGAAATTGAGAAGTACCAATAAAAATATTGAGGTTAAGTTATTTGTGTACGTTTACATATTTACTTCAGATGTTTTTATAGAGAGAGTTATAATTGAACTGGAAAAGTAAGATTACAGTTTTTTTCATTTTTTCCAAGAAAATGTATTAATTTTCAATTTGTCTTTATTATGAATTACTGACTTGTTTGCAAAGTTGGTAGTAGAGTTGTTTTTGTTTTAAATAAATTTTCGAAGTTTAAAAGAACATTGTAAAACCAAACCTTTAATAAATAAATTGATGAATTAATTCATAAAAAAACTTTGTGAATTTATTCATGAATAAATTCTCTATGATACCTACTGTTTTAAATTGCGAATTAATGAATTAGCTCATGAAGTCGTTTCATGAAGAAGCTGGCAAACATTAGGTACATTTTTTTCCATGTTATCTAATTAAAAAAATAACTTAATCTCAACTTATTCTAGAAAATATATTCATTTTCTATTTTCTATTTACTATGACTTGCTTGCAAACTTGGTAGTACCTAACTGTTTTTGGTTCAAAGAAATTCACTGTTTAAAATAATGTGACACCAAACCCTTTATGAGTAAATATGAAATAGGTTATGATAAATATTTTCCTATTTATTTAAATAACTCGTACAACTTTAAAATACGCAATTTATAGCTGATATGTATTATACTTTTACATTTTATTTTTAGTGGAAACAAAAAGCATAGAATGAGTTACGATGATGTTATACCATTACTGGGAGATTTTGGAAGATATCAAAAAAAAATTTATTTTTTGTTGTGTTTACCAGCTATATTATGTGCCTTTCACAAGTTCGGAAATGTGTTCATGATAGCTGAACCGAATTACAGGTGAGTACGTACGTATTTGTATACCTACATTGTCTTATAATCTTAATTTTTCACTTACACCAGTTATCAATAAAATTGGTTTATTGAAATTTTCACAAAATGCAATATACATACATTTAACGAATTATAACAAATAAAAAATATATTTATGCATTATTTCTTATGTTTGTGGCCTAAGAGTATATTTTGCGGTCATGCTATTAAATAAAATCTACTTTGTGCTAGAATTCAGGAGATGTGCAACAAAAATTGGGGTAAATTGAAAGATGTGTAATTTCTAAATTATTCTACAGAGGTCATACTTTTTTACTCCAACTATCAGTATTTATCAGGCTTCAAAATGGTAATCTTTCCAATTTCAATTGAAGACCAAAGAGCTAGGCAGTACGTACCAGGTTCGGTTGCTACGCAACAACTCGGCACTGAACTATTTGAAAAACTTGTTTCCATATTTATTTAGCCATACCCATATAGAGGTCTAGTCGTGCTAAACTTGGAGGTGGTAGAAGTGTAGACGCCCAGTTAAAGAATACGAGCGCGGGCAACCGGCTTAAAACAAACACAGCCGCACTGGGCGACTGGGCCATAAATTTCAGTTGTTGACAAATTGCCTAGCAGTGCAATGTAGCAATGCGGAATTTGGTGTGATTCAGGTAATTTTAATTTATTATAGGCACCTTCTGTTAATCATTCATATTGCAATTGCGAAAGGGGGAAATATGAGGGATATTTTGTTTACTAATATTATTACAACATGGCATTTTGGAGATCTTTTGAAAGGGACAAAACAAAATTTGCCATCAATATAATAAAATCGTTTGAGGACATAATTAAAATATGTTGTTGGCCAAATGAACATATAATAGAAATTTTCTACACGTTATATACAAATTATTATTTTTTACATTTACCAGAAAACTTTTTTAGGGGCGCCTATGAAACTCATTAAATTTTATTGCTAAGCGTTTTTATACATGTACAACTGACTTCGGAAAGACTATAACAACACATAAACTTCAGAAATGGACAAACTTTTATACAGGGTATTCAAAACATAACAGATTTTTTCTTAGTAGTAATCACTATCTCTGCTTGTTTTCAATTTAAAAAGTGATATTTTGTATACAATTTTTTTTTCTGTTAGGAAAAATTTAGCTTTCATTCAATTAAATGCAAGTAGGATAGTAGATAATTATGGACAGAAAACATGTATTGTTTTAAAAACAGATAAAAAAACAAATATTGTTGAACACCTTATATAAAAGTATGTATAACAGGCCGTTTTGAAACCTGATACATAGCCTGTCAATCGGAATAAGAACCTGCTGGATAATTTTGAAATAAAACACACTTCAGTTTACTTCAATTTTAGGGTGCTCCACTTTGAACAATAGTATACTTTATATTCATATGTTTGTACTTAAATATTTAACGCTTCAATGAAAATGATACGTGTCCTCTTTTAAAAAGTCCTTGACTTAATAACGTTATTATTTTAATTTGCTTTTTACATAATTAGATGATTTCCTTTTGTAAATTAATTGTCATATAATTTGAGGCCAGATGCAAAACAAGATAAATCGCAAAAGACTCGGTCCCAGAATAAAAAAAACTTTTATAGTTTCGGTTAACATTTTTCAAAATTTTGTTTAATATTACTAAATAACGGTAATATTTAAAAATTACATATGGATTTATCGTTTTTTTTTAATTTGCTTCTAATATTTTACAGCAGAAACTAATTAAACTCAAAAGCATTATTTTCAGAAAAACTCATGAAAAATTGATACGGTCGTCATCTTTATTTTAAATCTTCTATCAATAATTTTGTGATAATCCAGGCAAGAACCTGATGCAATGCTCTGTCAGCGAATTTATCTGTTTTTGGTATAAACATTATTTTACCTACCACCACTTCTATTTTTCAAAATTTTAATTTTTTTTAATTGGTGTAAAAAATAATTTAAATATATATAAATTATTACATGAGTCAAACATTACAGTGTGCTCTTTTGTCAAAATTAGTAAAACTTCAAATGAACTGACGGGTCAATTCTGACTCCTTAAAAAGACATAGCAGGTTGAATGTGGCCCAATACCTTCTAAAAAGGGTAAAATATTAATATCAAATTTGGGTATATGTTTTTAGCTATTGTTCAACTCATATTTAGACAAGGTTCTCAAAAAACATATAACTCACTTTTTCTTTCATACCCATCCGGTAAAAAGATTGTTGAATTTTTTTTGTGTGTTGGAAACGCACTTTTAGACCCTGTAGTATGAAAGAATGTTAAAGAAATCTAAAAAAATTTAATTGAATTTAAAAAGTATATTATGTAATAAAATATTACCAAAGCTAATACATCAAAAAAACCTCTGATTTACTTTCATATACAGGGTGTCCCACCGGGAACTGCGTCGATCGATATCTACGAAAGCACTGATTCGAAAAATTTGAAAATTTGGCAACATGGCAATGTCTCTGGGGCCAATAGAACTAAAATATCTAGAACTCTAGCACTTCCGGTTATACTGGAAGTCGACACCAACTTCGTTATTTTAAATGGGACACCCTATATATTATTGCATTTTCGGATTCTTCGTGAAGTTTGAGGGTCACTTTATTAAATATTCCCTATACCTAGGAGTTATAGAATCCGAGATATTAATATTTAAAGAAAAAATTTGATAGATGCAAGGGTCCGCGGAGATGCTAGTAACTCTTTCAGGAGTGTGATATCAAGTGGATTTTCGGTACCTGTAAAGGGCATAGGTAACCCTAAATTATGGTATACCGACAAATTAAAACATTTAATACTAGGTGTTTAATTTTTGCTGTTACATTTTGATAACTTCAAACAGCTATAATTTTGTTAATGGAACACCCTATATTTTTTTACTGTGTCGTATGCAAATTGAAATTTCCTTTCAAGCCATATAAGCATTGTTAGGGTTGTCGTTACTAGTTTTAGAGATATTTGCAATTTTCTATTTTTTGGACAGATTTTCTCGTATCAGACCTGTTGTCAAATTGGCCATGTCCAGAAACACTCCAAAAACAATTGAAATAATTTGACATTTGTCAAGTTAGTTGTCAAATTATTGTTGTGTTTTTGCCGAAAATTTAAATAAGAATGTCTGTCGAATTAAAGGATACCATGTATAATGTGGCCATAATATAGATTAGGCTAATTAGGCTTTTTTAAGTTTGTGTAAATCTCAATTTGTTTGTAAATAAAAAAAAAACTTTTAATTTGAATTTATTTAATAATGCAAATATAAAATGTATAAAAATAGTGATATAAATATACATGCATGTACAGTTCGGCTCGTTTCATTTGGTCGATGACGGTCAGGTGTAGTGGCAAAGTATAAGAGGGACTTGCCGAGTTCATTTTATTTCAGATCTCATAAAACAAAAGCTGTAAATTCTCACAAAAAGAAAAGATATAAATAATAAAATTATGAATAAATAAATACATCTTTATGTAAATAAATAATTGATTTGGTGAGTTCGAAAATTGTACATGTCCAAAAACTTCATTTTGAGATATATGGACATTGTACGGTTCTCCACCTCATTGGTCAGTAACAACGTGCTAAATACCGTTAACGGTTAAGGATCTTGTATGATTTTCATGATGAGGGAGCACATGGTTATCTTCACTTAAAATGCCTAATTTTGGACGGTACAGTTTTCCAACTCACCGATTTGATTGTTTTAATGTATTTACTTCCCTCCTCTTAGTTTTTATATGCAGTGCACTTTCTCTTGTGCATCTTACTGACCAATTGAAGTTAGTTGACCTGTGTATGTGTAGGCCTTTTCGGAAACTATAATGTTGTTAACCTGATCAGTAGAATCATTAACCTTGTCATATGAACCTTTGATATTTTCACTTAGTTCACTGTTAATGGTTCATTACTAATCCTAGATTAAAGTTTCCGAAAACCATTTGTTTATATGTATGTATTTATTAATTTTATACAGTACAATATTTAGACAGTTTTATGCCTAGGAACAAAACGTAAAAATGCAAATATTTTCTCAAATATATGTAATCCTAAAATACATATTAAAAAGTAGGTCTAACTTCACATCGAAGTTGAAACATTTGCAATGTTACTGCACTAGTGAACACTTTTTTATGATATAGTTGTTTCAGATCAAACCTACAACAGAATAAATTTATTTTAATAACTTATTTGAAGTATTCAAATATTTTGATATACATATTTTAAGCTCATTCTTTGAAAAATTTAGTATTATTTAATTTTAAGGCACATTTTAATTTTTTGCCAATATAGCACAAATTTATAATATTAATTTATTATTAAATATATTTTTTATTTTTAACTGCATAAGCTTCATTTTTGAACTTCAATCTTAAAAAGAACAGTACTCGGATTAACATTAATAAAGATTATTTTCTGTTCTTGCAAAAACTAGAAAATAAAAAAGTTTTTGGGATAATACAGTTTTATACAAATTTAAAAAACAGGAACATATGTGGCAACACTAAAGAAAAATTATTCAGTTCATTAGATTTTTTTCTAATTTGTCACAAATTAATGTTGAGAAAATTTTTATTCTAGCATTAATAAGACTATAAATATGATTAAATAATAAGCTTAAATAATGTTTATAGGATTATTTGTTTGATTATATTTTTTATACCATACCCTGTAACATTGAACAATTCTCTTGCTCCATCCTGACATTCTGTCAATACTAGTTCAATATTATTAAAATGATTTTGATGACACCAGTTCTGAACAGTCTGAATTAATTTTAATGCTACACCTTTTCGACGATATCTAACAAAAAAAAAAAAAGATAAATCAGTATATTGCAATTAATTTTCATTAATAAATATATATTTGCGATTAAGTTGCACTTTTTATTATATTATTTGAAAAAAAATGCTCCAATAGGTAATTTTTTTATTTATTTCCTACTATCAATTACATAAATTTAAAATCTTTCAAAATGTTACTCATTAGCTTTTGCTGTCCATAACCATGTATTTGTATACTTAATATCAGTTTAATAATTTATTTTTTTTTTATATTTTTTAATCAACATACCTTGTTTGATTGATCTATTTGAAAATGTTCTTTTTTTATTCATATAAAAAATAATGTAACATATGCCTAATTTTCGCAATATAAATAAGTTAAAAGGAATGCACAAATTTCAGAGGTAATTTTTACATGTAAAAATAATTTAAAAAAATATATATCGTTATCCAATTTTTAACTTATAGCATTATTACAGAATACCATAGACATTATTTTAATTCTTGTAATGTTTTTAAAAACCGGTAGAATTAGTAGAATTGCTTGTTATAATTTATTAACCATCGCCATTGTCAGGTTAAAATGCTTACTTTACAGCAAAAAATTTAATTAGTACAATGTTATGGCCAAGGCGAAAAATGTCCTATGGGATCGACTGAAACAAATTGTTTATTGCACATCTAGTAGATTCCAATATTGATCAATTAAAGGATGCGATTAGAGGTGCCGTTGCTTCAATATCTTTAGATGAGGTTAAAAGAAGTTTTGATGAATTACTTGTCCATTAAAAAACGTGCTTAATATGGTGGTAGTGTGTTTAAGTAAATAAACTTTTATTAAAATTTGTGAATTATTAATTTGGATTAATTTAATTTGAGTAAAATAAATTTAATGATTACAAATAAATAAAAGTAGGCCGATTTTTTTGAAAATTGGTATTGGAAACTGCCTTTTACTTTTGAACAACTTTTCCTAGTAATTTATTTCCACATCTTCACAAATAAGTGCATTTTACTTTTGTACCATTCAAAGTTTTTTGAATGGTACAACAAATGTAAAATTTTTCTCTCAGTCACACTTTAAGAACCAGCAAAATTTTTTCCTATTCAACACCTTTTCTGTGGACATGTTGTATATGTTATACTGCAAAAAGCAAAAGAGGCTCACGGATTTTGTTGTCTGATGTATTTATTATTCTTAATATCTATTTATGTAATAAATTTTTAAACAAAATTTCAAACCTTTTCTCTACACCTAATCTAAACAGCCAACACCAGTCTTCTCGTTGAAAATGTTTCATAACAGCTATGGTCCCTATAACCTAAAAAGAAAGTATATGTGACAGCTATAATCGAAATTATTGGTTATTATAAAAGATAAAATAACGTAAGCAAAACTAAAATTGAAATTAAACAATACTTTAAAGCTACGAAATAGACTGATTTAGATTCAGTATTAAATTGATTAACTTTGAAGGTCAATGGCCAAACAGTGGAATTTAAAGACAAATACAGAATAAATTTTACAATTAATGCACTTTAAAAAATAGTATAACTCTGTAGTTAAATCGAGTGCAGTTTGCATGGCTCTTCTCTGAACATAATTAGTCTTGACCTTTAATATTTGTTATAGTTTCAAATTTTACCTTTTTAATTTATCTCATCTTGTTTTTGCAAAAAATACATTGTTTTTAATTATCATAATTAAATTAAATTTTTCTCTGTCAACTACATTACTTGTGTAAAATAATAGTTTGAAAAGAAATAATAGAATTGTTTTGTCAGTAATTTCATTAACACAGTATAATAATGATCATTGTGATACATTGTGAAATGCCCTTTGTACTATTATAAAAGCTCTTAATATATTCTGTACCATCAAATAAAAAGTTGATAAACTGTAAATACAAGTTCATTGTACACTATTTGCAATAAAAAACTGGTTTAGACTGCTGCAAGTGGCTGCAGGATATTACTCTTAACAGTTTGCTATAGGTAAAATATTTTATTTCATCTAAATACTTGAATACTTTAATTCTGTCTCTTCCTGCTCTACCAGTGATATAGGTACTAATGAAAATTTTTGATTTTTATAAAATAAAGTAAAGTAAAATAAAATAAACAATTTACATATATGTAATAAGTTTACACTGACGTAAAAACATTAAATATAATATTATTACTTTAGTAAAAAATATTAAAAATAAATAAAATACTATTATTACTTAATAAAATCACAATTTTTCAAATCATTTTTATTGTCAACTGTGCAATTTAATTAAAAAAAAAATGTTGAAAACAACTTTTCATTATAAATTCTAATTATGTCAAATTCAGAAAGGATTGAGCCATCATAAATCCTTTGAAAGAAAATAAATCAATTTAGATCAATTTACCTTAGTTCAATTTTGCTTCCTTAGATTTAAAAGGAAAAATACAATTTTTTATTTAACTTCGTTACTTTTTAAGATATCTGATTTCATTTGTGGTGGCCAAAAAAAAAGTAAAATTAATGAGTAGCGGTTCCCTAATTTTAACAGACGCATCTATCATATGATCAAGTCAGAAGATTAAATAATAATATCCCTACCCCTCATTCTAACCACAAGGATTAGCTCAAAAGTCGGAGACTTGTGCGGGAGAGGGACGGCAAGCCAACGTTCTTCCACCCTACCACACCTGCAGAGAGGGTGCCTAATTTCTCTCTACGAATATAACTGATCTACGGTCTTATGCCTACGGGGATCAAATCTGCCGACAGTGGCATTAGATATGTGCATTAATCCAATTCATGACAGATTTGGTATGTGTAACAAGCCTAATATTTCAGTTAAATATATTAAGTCGATCTTATTTAACTGTTAACCGTCCATATAATGTCATTTGGTATATCGATATATCTGTCTATATTTGGCTGTATATTGGAAAGCATTCAAACGGGTACACATTTGAGCGTAAATGGGTACGAAACAAGATGAAACTGTATGAATATACAAATGTAGACATTTCTTCAAGGCAGGGTAAACTGCTTCAGTCTAGGGAAGCGAAAAATTAAAATTCGTTAAAAGATCACTTTGTCCTTTCCATGATTAAAAACATATTTCAATATTAATATTTATTTTGTTATGTTTTTCTAGTAATAAATGAAATTCAAATGTATATTCAATAACCTTGGGTAGATTCACAATAAAAAAAAATTAACAGAGATCCCTTCTGCTTCTCTTTCATGCTCAGATGTGTATTTGAATAGCAGTTTGCTGCGTGGTTACATTATGATGTTAGTCTCTTGTTTCCCTATACTTCTTCGCAAACATCATTCAATGAAGAACCTTTTCTGCATATCCATATAAGCGAATTTATATGCAAATTGTTTTCTCCCCATCGGAGTTTAATTTTTTGTTACATAAAAAAGCAGTACTACTTACACTTAAAATAGGAAAGGGATTAGTTGATCACATCATTAATTTTCAAGTGACGAATATAAGTTTATAGTTATAGTGCAAAATAATATGTTACATTTACCTTTCGCTGGCAGCCACTGAGTTTTAATTCTTCTATATCAATTTCATCATCTCTAACGATTTTGTACCAACAGTTATCTGGATTTTTCGTTATTAAAAGGGGTTCATATGCTTCCGCTACCCAACACATTAAAGGTTTTTTTTCATACATTACTTGAGCCGCTTTCATTATTAAACTACCGTAAATTATTACATATAAAATTATTACTACTACAGGAATTGATATCAAACAATGGAATAAGGGAACCCCTAGACAAATAAATAAAAGTGCAGAGAGTAATACTATTAACTGAAAAGTTAGCTGAAAATTAATTACAGTTAGTAAATGGATTTACATAAAGAATAAATATTAGTTTACCTCACTGAATAGCGTATTTAGCCAGGAATTAAATACATTTGATATATATGCATTTCTGATTACTTCAGATATTGCAGGAGTGTCAGTGTCTTTTTGTTTCCTTATTACTATATAATACATCATTAAAAACACAAATTCCAAAACAAACAATTTCCTGACAAATTAAAACAAAAATGAGGTTAAGTTAAATGTAAACGCACCGGCACTAGACAGAAATATGTCAAAACAAATGGATTGGTAACAATGGAACTAATGAAATGGAACGATTGAACTAATGGAAGCAATCGTTGGGCCAGTCAAACAGGCTGGTTCGACTGTTCCACGTGATAGGTCAACTGTTTAGTCGATTGGTTAGTTTTGAATTCGCCAGATCGCGCGTTTAATGCAGTCTAATAAATCGCGTAATTGAATCAAGTTGTTAGACGATAATTGGAAGACGAGACTGATGACGTTAAGTCCGCAAATTACCTAATTCATAATATAAGTACAGTGTTTTTTTAATATTGTGAAAAAAATTACGAAGTTATTCCTTATCAAAAAGTAAGAGGAAGGATCTTCTATCAGAGTTAACACTCTTTGAAATGGATCATTTAAAATGCAACTTTTCTCACATTTGGAGAAATAAAAAAGCAATTTGATATGTTACTTCATCTTATCAAAGGTACTTATTACTTCTTGGATTTTTTAGTAAAATGTCCTATTTTTTAGTAATAAGGTACTTGTGCATTACAAAAAAAATTTGCTAGCATACATATTCGACTTTATTTTAGGCTGATCGGAGTTACATGCTTCATTATCTATTTTTATCACAATTTTTTTTAATAATTGTTCATCGAGGATTTACAAAAATTACATTGCTATCAACAGTGTTGTCATTGCGAATCTCTCAAGTCATTTATTGCAACCGGATGGTAAATTACACAAATAGTGAAATTTGTGAATGCTCTTCGTTTACGATTTTGTTAACTACAACACATTATCAACCAGGTGCCTTGAAGAATGTTATCTAAATCACATTATTCGGCATCATACGATGTTTAGTCATTTACATCAGATCCTTAGTGAAACCAGAAGTTTTAAAATACTCTTAAAGAGTTAGGTACTCTTCAAATGGAAAATAGATAGGCACTTAATGAAATCGAAGAGTCATGCAACAAACACTAGGAAGTTTGCTCATTCATTAAATATTAGCCATTAAACAATTGGGAAGATTCTAAAAAATTATCTTTTGTACACCTATCATATTTAGTGTGTACAAACATCTTTTCCTATAATTTTCCACATAGAGTAGCTCTGTGTCGATGGATGCAAGAAATAATTCAATTCTCGATTTTTTTGCACCAATACTCTACAAATAAAAATATCTTCTGTAGGAATATCATAATAATTGAAAATCAACATGTGGTGTCACATAGACATCAGCATCAGTTTTCCCTTAATGTACAGGTGGGAATTGTTGGAGGCTTTCTGATTGGCTCATTCTTTCTTCTCGGCATAAAACATTTGACACATTACTTAAGTACATCTTCCATAGGCTGCTCGTTAACATTATTTTAATGGGTACAACAGTACACACTGACAAAATGTCAGATCCCACAATATAATATAATATTTATTCTTATTCAGTTGATATTGAAATGATGTATTATAGTTTTGGCTACAGTATTTATACATATTTGTATGATCAACACTTGCTAATATATTGCAACACGATAGTATATGATCGATGATTTCGTGAAATAAATGGCATTGTATGTATTTATCATTTGTGACTGCATCATCCTTTAGACTTTTATTTGTGGCTATGCCTGATCTTGAATTACAAGCATAATATCCCCACTTTCAAGACTACTCTCTGTGTAGGAATTTGTATGTTTGTCTCCTATCAAACTATTCCTGATTTACATTATTATAGTGTCTACTGTCTACCATGAAGTGGTTTGGAAGACCAACTTATTTTTTTCTGTTGTATTGAAATGAAGATGAGATAGTGTTTTTGTGTCGATAGATTTAGAAATGTTCAATGTTTATATATTTCTACTATAGCCCTATACAGTTGATGTCCTTTATTATGGTAATGGAATTTTAAGAATTTGTAGAACTGTTTCTAATTCTAAACGCTGAATTTTGTATTCTTCTGTCATTTGACTTCTTATATCTTTTGAAATGACCCGAGTATACTGCAAATGTCTGTTTTAATATTTCAAGCGTTTCTTGCATTGGTTGTTTTTTATAGTGAATTATATGGCAATTTTTTAAAGGCTATCTTTATTTTCTTGAATATATGTGTATTGGGTTATTCAACATTTCTTGTCCCAATTTGTATATCTTTTTCTCTAATCTTATTTGTCATCTTGGTTTCCTAGAATTTTGTTGTACTTGTACATACAAGTGTATACTGGCATATGTATTTCTTCTACATTTGTGTTTTCTGTTAGATCATTATATATTCTTATTTATTATTTTTTGTATGGTTAGTGTTCTTTCTCATTTGTCTTTCAGTTTGGTAAGGTCGATCTTATCAATAGATTGTTTCCTTTCCTTACCTCCTTTCCTTCTTACTCTTGTAGAATTATTAATTCTTTCTCATTTTTCTTCAAAGTCTTGTTCTTTCGGAACAACAGTTTTAGTTTCTTCAATTTTAGTAATGTTAGCCTTTCACTAATTTACCACCACTCTCTTGTGGTCCACTAATCTTTTCTCAATGACACATAATTCTGGATATAAGTTTAAGAATTGTTAAAGTAATTCTTGTCTGTATCCTGTGGAAGTTATTTCTAATCGTGTGACTTTAAAATAAATCGTAACAGTTCATTTGTTTTGTCCATGTGATGTGTTATCTAGCAAGCCCTGCTTTTGTGGTTGCTGGGTGCTGTGATAAAACACTTTGGTCAGTTTTTTATTCTTAGGAGTTTCTACATGTTGGTTCTTATTGCCTTTCTATGGTATGAGAAGCTCAAAATATTCTCGCTTTAAAACACCTACTAATAACAGATACATAGTTTTAACATGATTCATTTTACTATTATCGTTGCTGTAATCAACCCTCACAGGTTATTATATATAAAAAATATATAAATAAATAAATCATTTCTGACAATAACTAAAAAAATGTAATGTATTGTAATTAATCCAAATTTTTATGTTTCAGGTGTAAGTTACCAATTGAACCAATAAATGCTAGTTACCACCTTAACAGTAGCATAATAAAACAGTATTATCCCTGGGATTCTAGAAATAACAAAAGTTCTTCATGTGATATTATAATTAATAACAAAACACAAACCTGTGAAAAGTATATATTTGACGATGCAGTATATGGATATACATCAGTGATAGAGGTAACATATTTTATTGTACTTATTCCTTAACACATTTGTAAAGAAAAAACTATTTGATTGCTTGATTTTATAGGTCAATTAATGTTAACTAACAATAGGTTTCAATTAAATGTAAATTAATAGCCACTGTTCCTGCAAACACATATTCTGATATTAATAATTATGCAATCTTATTCATATATTTTCATTCTACTTCAACTGTATTGAAACTATTCCATTATTTACTAAAAATAACTTTTCTACATATTTAATTCAAATATATAATAATTATTAACCGAAAAGTTTTAATTTCAATTTTAATAGGTATAATGGTAAATACTTTATAAGAATAAAAGTATGAAACTTATAAAATTTTCTATTTTTATATGTTTTTCTATTTTGCTATCCTTATAAAAATAAAATAACTTCTGCGTCACTATAATATTGCAATTCAGTTATCTAAAACTGATTTTTGTTCCTTATGGATTACTAATTTAAAAATGGAATTATTGATATTTAAAAAAATATAAAACACGCATGATGGAAGCGTAAATACTTTGTAATATTTACAAATAGTTATTTATCTTTACATATTTTTTAATTTTAATAAGCACTATGTGTGATAGCTGATTAATTCTCACCTTTTGATATCTTTTTTATTATAGTACGACTTAACATGTAAAAATGCGTATCTTATTGCTACATCTAATTCACTTTTCATGGTTGGAGTTATGATTGGATCAATTGTTTTTGGAGAATTATCTGACAGGTTCGTAGAGGCATAGCTTTAAATTAATTTACTTTTAGGTAGATATTGCATGCTGATTAGGTTCATTTCATATTTGAAATTGAAATATAGGGTTATTTGGGTGATCTTCCGGAAATTAACACTTTAATTTATTGTTTGTCTAGGATTCATTTACTTAACAAACCCACTTAAGAATAATTATTTGGCACACATTTTTCTAATTTATTTCATAATATTTAATTAAATAAATGTTCTATTTCTATTTTATTATAAATAAACTTGTTTATTAGATGTCTGTCTTTAATCTGAATAGGCAATATAAATTATTATTGAAAAAATAGTATTAATACAATAATAGAAATTTTAAAATTTCAACAATATATAAACCATTGTTCATATAGGTACCTACCTCATGTTGTGCAAAATCCGTCATGCCTTCATTTTTAAACATTTGTTTGATATAAGGAAACCTTAAATTGTTGAATGTGTATCACATTCCTATATAATATTTAGATAAAATCCTTTTATAGAATAGCATTACCTAAAAGATGCATTGAAGATCGGAGTCTAGTTCTAATAAAGTGTACTATGAATTAATTGATGAATTTCTTTGGTTGTGAAAAACTGCTATTTAGGCTTAGACATATATTTCTATGATGTTCAATTATTATTGCATTATACATATTAAAAAATTTGAAAAAGTGTTTATGCCTACTTGTTTTATATCTTGGTTTATAAGGTATATACAGGGTGTGCCATTTAACACTCCCACTGCCAATATCTCAGAAATGAAGAAATTTATTTTAGTTCCGGAAACTGGGATTGTTAGGTCCCTCGAATATCTTCAAATTGTAGTTAGAACTGTTAATTCCAATCTTTCTGTATAGATGGCGTAGCAATACTAAAAAAATTATTGATCCCTGAAACGTGGTAATGCAGTCCATTTGAAAGATTTTTAAATTTTTGAGTAATTTTTGTAATATAAAGTTTTTCCCAATATTTACTTGTTTTCGAGACATGTCGAGTTCAATATGTAATGTGTGATGCAACAGGAAAACCTATTACTTTATTTAAATCACACTGAGACAAAATATTCTTTTAAAATATTGTTATAATGGCTTTATTCACATCACATACTAACAAACAATAAATTATAAAGAAAACAAACGAATGATCAACTACAGAAAAAACGTATTAGACTGCTTTATTCACACCACATACTAACCAACAAACATTCAACTATAAAAAAAACAAATGATCAACTCCAGAAAAAAAAATTGTACAATAGTAAATCTTGTAACTAGTATAATTTAATTGAAAGACGCAAGCTGATAAAACTGTAATTATTGGAAAACTAATATGCGTCATCCGTCATACGTGTTTTATTTTAACCAAATGACATAAGTTACCTATGATTGCATTTTTAATAACATTTGATAAAATATTGTTTGTGACTGCCCCTTATAAGATTTACCAAAGTACAATTTTTTTTTCTGTAGTTGATCATTCGTTTGTTTTCTTTATAATTTATTGTTTGTTAGTATGTGATGTAAATAAAGCCATTATAACAATATTTTAAAAGAATATTTTGTCTCAGTGTGATTTAAATAAAGTAATAGATTTTCCTGTTGCATCAGACATTGCATATTGAAGTCGACATATCTCGAAAACAAGTAAATGTAGGGAAAAACTTTATATTACAAAAATTATTTAAAATTTAACGATCTTTTAGATGGACTTCATTTCCACGTTCCATGAATCAAAAAAATTTGTTAGTATTGTCACGTCATCTATACCGAAAGATTTGAACTAACAGTTCTAACTACAATTTGAAATTATTCGAGGGACCTAACAACCCCAATTTCCGGAACTAAAATAAATTTCTTTATTTCGGGAGTTTTAAATGGCACACCCTGTATATGTACAATAAAAAATCAATTTTCATATACAAATAAAAGCATTATATTATGTAACTGATTAATAATTAAACATCATAAAAACGACAATATTGTGATTTATTGGGATTTTCTCTATTTTTTATTTAACTCGGTGTTAGTCGCTGGTGTATGTATCAAATACAGAGACTATATTATTTTTTGTTCTGTCTAACCCACAACAGATGAATTTTGCTCTCCCACTACCTTTCCAGTTCTTTATCTTATGTTTAAAGTATATTTTGCTAAAAAAAGACATGCCAGTATAGACCTGTCGGCATACAATGTATTGTGAGATATATTGCAGCTACCTATGTCAGCAAAATAATTTTAATTTACATTTCATCAACAGCGATGGCTTCATCAAACCATCAGTATTTTAATCCTAATGATGTGATGAAGAGGATGTAGAAATTCTTCAAAAAATGTTGAGTAAATGGCTTATGATTCTAGTGATGCTTCTTTTGGAAAATCTAAGGAATAGGATTTGGACAGAGAGAACAAGTCATACATCCCATTTTGTTGGAAGAAATCTCAAATCAAATGGTGAAACCAGCATCGTTAGAACAGAATATACATATAAACATAAGTACTAAATCATCTGGTATAATATAAGCAGCAAAGGAAATCAAAACAGAACGTGATGTTTGGAAACGAGCTTGGAAGTGTTTCATGAAGAAGAAATATTACAACTTCTCCTTCATTATGCAAACAAATACGTTGACTTCATAAAAGAATAATTTAGCAGAGAACGTAACACAAATACAACATACTTACGTAAAATAAAAGTGATTATAGGACTTCTGATTTTTGCAAGATTATATGAATGGGAAGTGGAATTATTTCGATTCGAAGATAGAGACGTATATATCGAATATAAGACTGTAGGCAATCTAGCGGCTGTGCGAGAAATATTTAAAATTTTTATAAAAAACATCCAAACGAAAAAACAAACAACAAACGAAACGAAAAACTTGAAGGGGTCCGAAGTAGGTGTCAATTTCGTCAATTTGTACATCCCATCAAAACGTAATAAAAATTTTGCATTGACGCTAAGTAACTTTGAGATATATGTAGGCTAATAACCAGAAGGTCCTTTTTGTAAGATTTATCAACTCTTTGGGTCTTGAGACTTGCAGAACTAGTTCGTAATGTATGTTGAAACAACTACTTGGTTCACTAATTTAGAATTGATTAAAGATGAAAGAAAAAAAAACTTTAATATATTGGCACAATAAAAAAATTCCACATAAAAACATCCTAATTAAAGATCTCAAAGAAACTGCTGTCCAAGAAAAAAAAACTAGTGCAGGCACTAAATGAAACATTGTGGTTACCGCCACCATCAGCAAAAAGGATCCCTCTAATCAAATAAAATTGCATAAAAATACAGTAAATATCTTTGTTTAGAACACAGCAATTTTATTTGCCAAAAATGAAAAGTGACCCAAAATTTCGTCCGTTTTGTCGACCTCACGAATTCGATTCGAAAGTGGTCTAACTAATAGCTTGTGGCGATACTTTAGAGTAAGCAAAATTTTAAATTGAGCATAGTTTTTGTTTTGGAGATCTGGCAGGTCGAACCTGTTAGTTGGCTTGTTCACGCCAAGATGAATCCAACATTCTCGGCACACTCGTTCATTGTGTTCAAGATTCTCAAATATGCAAAGTGTACCATTTTCTATGTAACTTTCGTTCTTTATGAATCTACCATTAGATTTTACCAAACACTTATTGTTTTAATGAGGTACTGCCGATTTTACAAAAAAAATCGGGATTTTGCTGAAAATATTCAATTAATCGGTATTTTTATACTGGGGACTTACAAAATCTTGATAGATACTCTAAACCTTGTATCCAAAGAACTTTGATTAGATTGTAAGATTAATGATGAAAGAAAAAAATTGGGTAATCAAAGTGTGTATTAGCGATTTTTTAAAATTGATTCTGTTGCATGCATACAATTATGTATCCTTACAACAGTTAGGATAAGATTAGATATTCTTTAAGAAAACATCATGTTATGTGAGGGACTACGCTTTTTGCAAGCAATGAGTTTACATTTTCATCACTCAGATCATGTAAAATAATACGCAATTGCTCGCCAGTGCTAGTGAGTGACTTCTTTAAGTGTTTTCTATATCTTTTAAGGGAATATATAAATCCGTCAATATTTGCTATGTTTTCAGTATAAAAATATCGTTAAATCAAAGATATTTAGCAAAAGTGCAAATTATTTTTTACAAAAATCTTTTATAACTTTCTTGTACTATATTTTTGGTAAAATATAATGAAAAATTCGAAAAGAACAGAAAATTTTACATTAAAAATGTTACTGCTTGTATTTGTTGAAAATTTTAAAATAACGCAAGAGGTCACCGAGAATGGATTCCGATTGGCGAGGATGAATCAAATAGAGTTTAACTTGCCATATCCTGAAAATTGAATGTATGCTCAACTTGAAATTTCGCCTACATTAAACTATCACTATCACTCTTTTAATCATTTTTGTTATATTTTTTATTAAAATAAATGATGTTATAAAATCGTATTAAATGAAATAATTATTAGAGAAATCTTTTAATTTAATATATTTATAAACATTCGGCATATAAAAATGAGAAATTTTACTAAAATAAAAATAAATGTGTTGAAAGATTTGATGTAATCTTGGATATACATACGATGAATGAAGTGAAATATATGATTGTGACTAATGCCAGGTTAAATTTAAAGGTTGTTAGGAAGTAATGAAAAAAATTTATATTAAATATGTCGGAAAAAATATACAAATTCAATGTTTCTCTCTTCAGATATGGCAGAAAAATTACATTTTTTATATCTTTGGTAACTCAACTTGTTTTTGGAATAATAACTGGTTTTGCCCCTGAATATTGGACTTTTACAATAGCTAGAGCTATTGTTGGAGCTACTACATCCGGAGTTTTTCTTGTTGCTTATGTTATAGGTAAGATATGACTTAATTTGTACTTACTGAATACGAAATTAATTTATCATCTGATCATACACACATTCTACGAATTATTTCCTTAATTTAAAGCTGGTGTTGTTTGTTATATCATAAATAATTAAAGCATGTATGAGGATGTATTTTAATTTTTTTTTTTGTATGTTATTTCATTTGGCTTAATTACTTACATATGACAAAATATACATTGATCACAATTCATGAAATTGCATTCATCAGTAGAGTACAATTTCCTATATTTCATAACACTTAACATTGGTTAATTATTCATCCCTATTTAAGATTTAACATCATTAACAATTTTATAATTAATATACTTGATACATGAGTTTTTATTACTTTTGTTAATCCTTAATTTTCCAGTAACTGGGTGGGGATTAAATATTATCTACTATCTATTTGGCTTTGCATCTTAGTAACCGAAAACTAACATGCTAACTTGACATGTGCAAAGGGCTTTATTTTGTCACTTTGATATGTAACAATTTTTAATAAATGTAAGTGCTTAAAAAAAGACATATATTTCGGTTATAAAATCTGAATGGTAATAAATGATATAGTATACAAATCCTCTCCCTTGAGACTGACATTAAAAACGCCCTGACTCAGACTACGACGGAGACTATTGTCCCCCGACTGACAAACCCCCGGGGCACCCTCCCCGATGACATAAAAAACTTAATACGTGACAGACGACGTGCGAAACGGCTTGCCACCCGCACCCGCCTCCCCCGACACAGACATGACTTAAACGTACTTAACAGACGGGTGAAGGCGGCTCTGGATGAACTGGCCCAGGATAACTGGGCTAGGCACCTGGAGTCGCTGGATCCACAAGACAACAGCCTCTGGAAAACGCAGAGGGCCCTGCGACAGACCGCTCGCCGTAAAATTCCTCCAATCCACGGTAGTGTGGGGGTGGTTTACACGAACCAGGAAAAGGCCGAGGCTTTCGCCGATAGCCTGGAACTGCAGTGTAGACTGCCTCAGCTGCCCGACGAAGACGAGGAATTCGAGATAGTGGCTGAGCGCGCGGCCCGACGCGTCGACAGAGAGCCAGACAATGACATAATCCCCCCCGCAACACCTGACGAACTAAGACTGACAATACGCAGACTTAAAAACAGAAAAGCCCCCGGACCCGACAATATACATAACACGACACTTAAACGACTACCACACAAGGGCCTCATGGCCCTACTAAACATAACAAACGCGACACTCAGACTAAGACACTTCCCTACCCGCTGGAAAACAGCAAACATAATCCTTATCCCAAAACCCAACAAAGATCACACCATCCCATCCAACTACCGGCCCATTAGCCTGCTCCCGGCTATGAGCAAAGTGGTAGAAAAAATTATCCTAACCCGTCTAAGAACCCACTCCCAAGAACTGCAAGTCATTCCAGACGAGCAGTTCGCCTTCCGACCCAATCACTCCACTGAACTCCAAATCCTTCGCCTTACCGAGCACATCACGGCGGCCTTCAACAGGGGACAGTACACTGGTGCTGTCTTCCTGGACGTCGCAAAGGCCTTCGATACGGTTTGGCATGAAGGCCTACTGATGAAAATGCTCACCAACCAATATCCCATATCCTTTACCAAACTCATAAAATCCTACCTACACCACCGAAAATTCCGCATCCAAATCCAAGATTCCCTTTCCACCACCCGTCCCATGGAGGCCGGTGTCCCCCAGGGCACCGTCCTGTCCC